CAAATGGGAGATGCAGCAGTTACTGGTCCATAGTAAATCTAAAATTTAGCAGGGTAGATATTGAGAATGACCCTCACCTTTCCCTAGAACTGCTTCCTGGGAATAGTTTCTTGATTCATTCTTCATATTTGGTCCTTGGAGTGGACAATCCTCTTTCATTTATTCTCCTTGACCACACTGGATTTATTTCTTACTTTGAGTTACAGTCTAAGTTGCCAGCCTCCAACTTGCAATCTTTCTGCCTCCACCTCACAACTCACTGGGATTATAGGCATGTGGCACTTTACCCAGCTTTAGGAACCACTTTAATAAATTCAGAGGTTTTTACAAAAGACATAATACACTTGATGTGGCTGGCCCTTGTCACAAAAATGAGTTTTCATAAAATTTTGTCAGTTTTATCTTTTTTTTTTTTTTTTTCTTGGTGCTGGGAATTGAACCCAGGGCCTCACACACTCTAGGTAAGTGCTCTAACATTGAGATACATCCTCTCCCTTTTTTAATTCGTTAAAATTTGAGACAGGGTCTCACTAAACTACCCAAGATGGCCTTGAACTTGTGATCCTAATGGCTCTGCCTCTCAATTATCTGGGATTATAGGCAGCATGTGTCATGCACCTGAATTTAGTTTTTTTTTTTGGAGGGAGAGCTATCAGGAATTGAACTCAGGAGCACGTGACCACATCCTCAGCCCTATTTTGTATTTTATTTAGAGAGACAGGGTCTCACTTTTGTTGAGGCTGGCTTTGAACTCACAATCCTCCTGCCTGTGTGCCACCGCATCCAGCTAGTTGTATCTTTTTCTGGTTAAAAATGTGTATCACGGGCTGGGGCTGGGGCTCAGTGGTAGAGCGCTTGCCTAGCATGTGGGAGGCACTGGGTTCGATTCTAGCACCATATGTAAATAAATAAAATAAAGGTCCATCAACAACTAATAAAAAAAAAAAGTGTGTCATATGGCTAGGCACTGTGGTGCACACCTGTAATCTCAGTGACTCAGGAGACTAAGACAGGCAGGATGATCACAAGTTTGAGGTCAGCATGGGAAATTTAGCGAGACCCTGTCTCAAAGTAAAATATAAAAAGAGCTGGGGATGTAGCTCAGTAGTAGAGCACCCTTGGGTTCAATCCCCAGTAACTAACACACACACACACACACACACACACACACACACACACACTCCTAGCTTGGCAGGAGAATCACAAGTTTCATGTCAGCCTGGGCAATTTAGAAAGATGCTGTCTCAAAATAAAAAATTAAAACAGCTGAGGATGTAACTCAGTGGTAAAGTGCCCCTGGGTTCAATCTCCATTACTGGGGTGGGGGAAAGTGGAGTTTCTTTATTCTCTTTCATTTCTGCTTAAAAACTCAACAATTTGGGGGCAGGGCTGTAGCTCAGTGGTAGAGCACTTGTCTTGCATGTGTAAGGTACTGGGTCGGATCCTCAGCACCACATAAAAATAAATAAATAAAGATATTGTACAAAAAAAAGATATTGTACCAACTACAACTAAAAAACAAATTAAAAAAAACTCACCAATTTTTCTGAGTTGTTATTTTCTTACAGTAATCTGTCAATGCACCTAACAGTGGCCAATGAATGCTATTTTAATATTTTTTTGCCTAAAGCCCTAAAGTCATTTAGTCATTATTATATTCTTGGTTATTCCCAGTTTAGTTTAACAAGATGCTTCATGACTACAAAACAAGTATCACCATTCTCCCAACTTCCAATAGTAGTTTTTTACCAGTCACTGTCTAGCTCAAAGCCAATGCCACATAATTTAGGCTTATTTTGTTTTTGTTGTTGTAGCAGCACCCCAATTTTGGTATTAATTCTGTAACAGTTTTTTTTTTTTTAATATTTATTTATTTTTTTTAGTTTTTTGGCAGACACAACATCTTTGTTGGTATGTGGTGCTGAGGATCGAACCCGGGCCGCACACATGCCAGGCGAGCGCGCTACCGCTCGAGCCACATCCCCAGCCCTCTGTAACAGTTTTAAAACTAATTATAATATGGTGATGAACAACTTCAATACATCAGTAGCCAACTGCAGAAACATGTTTTTCACATTACACATCATCTTACATGTGGGCTGGCTACAGCCTAGTTTCATGTCATTTCATTGTGAGTTCCAAGCTCAAAGAGAATTCTAGATCTAGAAATTGCCAGGCTCATGACAGAGGGAAAAGACAAGGGAAGCTGCCAGACTATTTTGTGGAATGTTTTTATTTTTGTYTTTTGTTTGTTTGTACTTGRGATTGAACCCAGAAGGGCTCTACCACTGAGTTACATCCCAGCCTCCTTTTTTACTTTTTGAGACAGGTCTCACTAAATTGCAGAGGCTGCTCTTGAACCTGTGATCCTCCTGCCTGTCTCCCCATTAGATAGGATTTATAAGCATGTGCCACCACACACAGCTCATGTTTGGAAGTGATACTTTACCTTTCTACTCATATTCCATTGGCAAAGAAAGCCAAGGCACATAGCCCCACTACTGTCAGTGGGGCATGAGTGTATAACTATCCTATAGTGAGAGGCCCAGTAGGGAAGGACAATAAATATTTGAAACAATAATTCTATCTGCTACAGGGCTGTACCAAAGACGTCAATCACTGATCTTATTCACTCCTCCATCCACSACATACACACTCCACTACAGCATTCGGTACCATGTAGCACCCTACATACATCTTGGCCAAGAATAAAGTCATGACTCAAGGACAGACAATTCCTAGGCAGGTCAATGTAGCCTGACCTGGAGAGTGGACTAGACCAGCTTCTTGGGAAATTGAACCACAAATATTGAGTAAGTTGCAGCTAGACTGTAAACAGGTAGATTTGAAAAAGTTACAGTTAACCCATAGTCTGTTCCTTGAAAGTTAAGCTAAAGCAAAGCAACCACACCAGGATTTCAATACAATATCTACCTCCTCTTGGCTCTTTCCTAAGGTCAGTGTCCCACAGGGAATGGTGTGTACACAGGGAAACCTGTGGGAGCTCTGGTGCATTGGTCCACTTGCAAACTTGCCTGCCAGGTCTGTTCACTTTTACTCACCTCTTCAAACCATTCATGCGTCCCCACAATCCACAGAAGTTCAAACTACTGAGCATCTATTCACCTCTTCCAGGAGGTTCTGAATGGTTTTCTGGGTGAGACAGGTGATCTCTGTTTCAGGGGTGACACTGTCCAGCACAGCAAAGAAGCACTAACATGTTGATTAGTACAAGAACATCCAGCTATATAGATGTGGATTCCCAGAGAATCAGATCCCCGTAGATGCCACAGATTTTGTGGTTTTACCCTGAAGGCAGAGAGGTGAGAGAGGACAAAGGCAGCCAACTGGAAAGAATTCCCCTGGAGATGCAGGCCACAGGGGGAAGWGGTGGAGAATCAGGGAAGCCCAGACGCCTCAAGTCCAAATTCAGTCTGGTATTGGGACAGGATCCTCCCACTCACAGCTTCCCCACAGAGAGGTCATCTAGGTTGGGTTTGCACACTCTTGGGAATGGGAAGCTCTTTGTTGTAAAGTCCTTAATTCACTACCCCTGCAAATCCCTCCACAATTCCTCCCTCCTCTTTTGGAAGTTTCATCTTGCCCCTGGAGCTCTGTGATCCAACCACTTTTGCCTGTCTGTGGACTCACTTGGAAGTCCTCCCCATATCAGCTTCCTAGATCTAAGAATTATTTAATACCAAGGAGCAAAGATGACCACCCCTTAGTCCGCTAGCCAATCTTTTCCAGTTGCAACCAAGCCAATGCCTCAGCTCACCCCCCACCCCACACACAAACTGCTGGCCAAGATGCTAGAGATCTCTGACCAGATACAGGTGTTGTCAGTTGCCACTCTAGGGCCATAGGTAGGTGCTGCAGGCAGCTACCCTGCCACAGGTGGAGGGAGAGCAGGCYCCCATTAGCTTGTTCCAATCCTTGCACCCAGTCCTGCCCTCCAGTCCCTCCCCCAACTCAGATCCAGGCGTCACACCAAATGCACCAATGACACCACATGTATCCATTCCCCAATTCTTGGTACATCCTGCAGCTGGATGGCCTGAGCCGCAAGGGGCAGTAGCAGCCTGTGGGATTGAAAGTGGGATGGACTGGGCCACTAAAACTCCGCCCCCAGACCTTGGGGACCRGAGCCAAGCACACCCCTATTCCAACCAGGCATCAGAGCCAGGAATCGGCTTACCCTTTGAAACCAAGTTTCTGGGACAGGAGCCACATCCTTCTCCAGAAATGAAGCATGTGGACTAGGAATGCTTAGAATTGAGTTAGGGTTTGTAGTTCAAATGTCTTATGGAAATCAGGGTCCTTGCTCTTCTGACTCTTCTACCTCCTTCCACCTGGTAACCTTGCAGTAATCAGGTATGCTGTTCTGGGGTCATGGCTCTCTAAGTTGAACTCATAAAAAGCAATGCCTTTTAGGTAAAGGGCCTAGGTTGCTGAGATTGCCTGGCAGTCTCTTTGGCTGCATCTTTCTATAACTGAATCCTTCTCATTTACCATTCAAAATAAATGTCCCCTCTGAGACCAGACCTTCCTGACCACTGTACCCAAAGTAACAGCCTCAGTTACTCAATTACTTTTTCATGATGCCTCTTCCTTTTGGCCTCAGGGACACTACTAATCTCTCTCTCTCTCTCTCTCTCTCTCTCTCTCTCTCTCTCACACACACACACACACACACACACACACACTTCACCTGGTTCCAGCCTTGCCTGATAAGCTCATCAATTCAGGTATATGTACTCATAGTGGGGGCACAGTATGAGCTGGGAGCCATACAGAATCTCTTCCCAACACACTCTATCCATTCTGTGGGAGAGCAGAAGGACAGAGCCAGTCCGCTGTGGTCACAACACCTAGGGCACTCTGATCTGAGCCTGTCTAACTGAGCCTGGCCCCAGGAGTGGACAGGAGGTGGGAAGCTAGACAGTGGAAGCCCTGGGCCAATCCTTCTAGGAACACACATGCACAGGGGTCTCCAAGATTTTTTAATTTTTTTACAAAACCATGTGTCCCAGTCAAACAGGACACTACAGGCCCTTCCCCAGGCATCATGGCCTGAAGGGGGAGGCCCCCCGAATAAGCAGCTGTCAATCCTGAAAGAACCATCTGCCCCTTTGCGCAGGGGCCAGTGTCCAGACAGGGGTCCAGCTGGAGACTCTGCCCTGCCCCCACAGCTGATGGGAGAGAAGGCCAGGCCCCAGTCCCTGGTACTCCCCATACCTGCAAGGGAAGGAGGGAGAAGAGGGTCTGAGGGGAGGTGGGAAGGCTGGTGCCAGGGACAGGGCAAGCCCACCATATCTCACCGAGAATGAGCAACATTATCCAACTGCTGTGGTGATGCCAATGATGACAGCTAGGATGAGAACAGTGATGGACACACAGATGGCAATCATGACTTTTTTCTGTGGGAGAAGAGGAGTCAGGAAAATCATTCAGGAACACTTGGGGCTGGGGCCAGGGCTGGAGGCTCACCTTCCTCGCCTTCTTCTGGTTCTCCAGAGCTTTCTTGACATGTTCCTGCCCACGTTCCACATAGTCTGCTGAGCTCAGGATGTTCTTTTCTATCCGGTTGATCATCTCCCCCTGCTCAGAAAATAGAATGATTCAGGGAGAGAGGGATGACCAAGCAAGGGGGGCTCAGCAACTCCTTTGCCCACCCCAGATGCAAATGACTAAAGGACAGTCCTAGAAAAAAAAAAAAAAACTGCACTAAAGAAGATATGGCAGGACCCAGATCTGATAAAAGTTCTGACTCCTAAGGATGGCTTCCTGGCCCCCTTCAATCAATGTGGTCCCTTCTCCCCTGTTCCCTTATTCCATACAACCTCCGTTTGCAGGGGCGGGATGGAGCCACGGGCCTCAAATGGCTCCTACCTTTTTCACAGATATTGAACTTTTGTCCCCTTACAAACTATCTGAATTCATCCATTCTTCTATGTCTGTTTCCCAGCTGCTATGCAGCCCTCCCTGTTACTGCCTCCTCCTGGCACTACCAGCCTTCAGGTCCTGGTACTCCTACTGAATGAAAGCCCTTTCCCATGACTCCCAGCTGCAAAAGGGCATTGACTGTAGCACTACTGAGGTCAGCTCCTCAAGGACAGGGCTGGAAGCTTACCTCAGCTCCTACAATGGGCCAGAGGAATACCACTGACACCCCAACCTTGCTCAAATTTTAGAAGGCAGGTCCTCTAGGGGGAAACTTGGGAGCTCTTAGAATCATGAAGGTGGGTTCTGTTGGTAGTGGAGGAGCCATGATTGAGGCCATACCTGGGGTAGGTGCAAATTGGAGAGATGGATGGGAGGTTATGTACAAAGGAGTGGCCATCTGGGTAGCAGTGGAGGTGGGCACAATTCTGGGGATTTGGGTAGGGATGGAAGTAGGGGCCACCTGAGACATGGCCAAGCCTGGAAGAGCACAAAAGCCCAGGAAAGAGTCTAAGGGTGGAGAGATTGGTCCCAGGTTGAGACTGGAAGCTCTGACTATGCATAGCCTCCCATCTGAGGGCTGCCCACAGTACCCACCTGCATCTCCACCTCAGTTGCTAAAAAAGTGAAGATCTCATGAAGCTCACGGATACTGCGTTCAAGCTGCTGGATCTCACTATGCCGAGCTGAAATCTCATTTAGGGCCTGTCGAGTCACCTGTGTGTCCTTCAGTATCTGGGGGGGTGTGGACAGAAGAGAGGGAATAGATCACAGAGTGACCAGCAACAGGTCAGAAGCTCCTGTTGGGTTTTTGGGGCAGTCCCCTAGCCAAGGAGCAAAGTCAGGAACCTGATGAGCGACTCCATAATGGGCCGCAGTATGCCCTGAGTCAAAAGGCACCAGGGATCAAAGAAAATGGGAGGCCCAGCAGAGGGAAGATGGCCATGGCCACTCACATTGGATACAAACACCTCACTCTGCCCACTGTCCAGCATCTGCTCCAGCTCCTCATCAGAAACCATTCCAGCATTGGCTGTAAAAGAAAAGGCCAGCTCAGAGCTGGGTCAGCATTACCYGACACCACAGGTCTAGAGCTCCAACTCACTGATTTTCAGCTGCCTCCGTATGCGCTCCACGTTCTTTTCCCGGTATTCAGACTGCATCAAGTTGCACTTGTTGATGAGCTCCACAAATTGCTGGGACAGGACCCCATGCTAAGGATGGAGAATACAAGCTGGGCACCTCAGGAGGATCCCTGCCTCTCTGRGCCTCAGCATCTCAAGGATATAGTGAGCAAACATGACCTGTCATGAGGTGCCTACTGCCTTAACCACCCTGACAGGCTCCCTCACTTCTGAGTGAAAGCCAAAGCCCTAACCAAGGCCTAAATGGCCCTACATGATCTGCTCTGACCCCAGTAACTCTCTGACCTTATCTCCTCCTTCCCTCCAGAATGTTCCTTATTCCTTACTTCCACTACTAGCCTTTGAATTCACTGCTTCTTCTGTCTAGTATGCTTATTCCCCACAAACATCTTTTTTTTTTTTAAAGAGAGAGTGAGAGAGGAGAGAGAGAGAGA